AGGGATAAATGATAATGGAGGATCATCACTGCTCTTCACAAGCAGAAATGGCATCAAGTAACATTAGGACATTTGAAAAACACGACACGACCCAAAAGTTCCGCTGTTTATTTTTTAAACGAGTGAATAATTGGCTAAGCTGTGTTGCTGTCAGTTTAACACATTTACAATAACATCAGCTTCAGCTGTAAGTGATCAAGCAAAGATAGAATGATTTACATTTGAAGTCAGACTTAGCTCAATTTCAAACAAACAATACATAACATTGTTCGACCAGTTTGGTAGTCTGTCGTGTGTTACTTGGACAGATAACTGTTACTGTCTAAGCTGCTTATGATAACAGCTGTGTCAGTTATTAACTGCACAGAATCCAGAAACAGACATTTGGGTTCTATGTTATAATAGGACTACCCCTATTCGGGTTTGCGAATGGTTTAAAATGAGTTTATTAATGGTTATTAATGGTTATAAACTAATAAAATGTTCTAACACATTAATAACAAGGGCCGATCTGTTTGCCTAATAGTGAACCCACATTCATCTGTAGGCTTCGGATCTTGCTGTTTAGTGATCTTAAAGTGACCTGTTCTATCTGATGTATATGAATGTGACGAAGCTGAAGGTTTAATGCTGACCGATGACAGTGAGGCCCAATCCCATTTTACCTCTTGCCCCTACCACTTAGCCCTACCCTTCTGTTTTGCACGTTCACGCCTAGTGGTAAGGTGTCACAGTTTTTGTTGAGATAGAGGGGTAGGGTGGAGTGTTGGGGCTACATGGCCCTCCAAACAGAGGTTTTTCAGAGACGCTTCAAACAGAGTGTTATGAGAAAAAGTGACTAAAGAAACTCACAAATGTAAATATTTTCCATGTTAAAATTATGATAACTGTTGTATTATCTTAGTTTAATTTCAGTGTATTATGGCCCTTTTCTTCATAAAAAGAACAAAAAATGGCTAGTAGTAGTGCTGATGTCTCGGTAGCTAGCTAGTTAAATTTTACTGTTCCACTTTAAATGGTGCAGCAGTTACATTCTGGCACCTCAGGCTTCAGAAATGCTGCTCCATTTAAGGTGGAACGGGATAATTCGAACAAGAAGCTGGCAAATATCTGACTTCATCTTCATATCACTGAAGAATTAGGGGTGGGCGATAATAAATAATTGTCATCCCCCCTCGTTGAAGGCATATGATGCCCAAAATGTAACTAAAGCCCAGCAGTGAGGAGCTGAACTTTACCCTCCTCGGCTGTCTGCAGACTGGCGGGGTCGCCTACAGAGCAGCACTAGTAGCTGTTAATGAAGTAATGTTCTTCTTTATTTGAGGGTCCCATTTCGTAGGGAAGATTTCAACCATTACCCACTGTAACTTAGTTCCAAGGGGCAAAGTGACACTTGAAGGGGTAGGTGTAAAAAATAAGAAATGGGATTGGGCCTAAGTAAGATCAGTAACCAGCAAGGTCTGAGCTGAACAGTGTAGATGAATGTGGGTTCACTATTAGACAAGCAACCATTTTGTTTATGTTGTAACTGCTTATTAAAGATAACGAAGGTGTTAATGACCTAATTAATATCCATTAATAAAATCATTTTAAGCCATTTATAAATGCTTTACAAGGGTTGTCTTATTCTAAAGTTGGATCAACATTTCTTACAATTACCAGTTACTCTAACTCTTTTGAGTGGTACTGATCCATCATTCCACTATCAGATGAGAAGAGGGCGATTACCTCTCCGCCACACCAGGGGGCAGTATAGACGCTTCGTATCGCCCACCCTGATAGGTGTCAGTATTGGATTCCAAGAACACTGCCATATTAATTGTTCATGAAGAAAGAAGGAAATCACTTATTGCTCCTTTATATACTGATGACATTGATGTAATTTACCATGATGTAAAAATCGATAAAACTGATAAAAATCGTGATGTTACTCATCATTATTTAGGCCCCATGTTCTTCATTGTCACTGTATTTTATGATTTACAATTACTTGCTAGTTTTTTGCCTGTTATTTCTGCAGCACAACTGAGAGAGTATGGGTGAGATCATCTGTGATGTTAGATTTTTGTGCTGAAAACTGTTCAGGGCTGTGGAGGACACACACGCACACTCATCTCACACATAAAAACACACACACACACACACACACACACACACACACACTCATCTCACACATAAAAAACACACACACACTCAGAGCCTTGAGCTTGGACTAATGAGCAGTGCTGGAGATGTCTGGCTCTTTTTTTTACCTGCAACTGTAATTAGTTCTGAATTAATGTTGTGTTTCTTTCTTTCTGTCTGTGTCCGTCTGTTTCTCTCTCCCTCCGTCCTTCAGTACCAGATTGAGATGATGAGGAGTGTCCGTCATCTCAACATCGACCACCTTCACCTCGGCTGCTAGAGTCCACGTATTACGGCTCATCCGTCAGTAAAGCTCTGCTGCACTCGCTGTTCAGCTACCAGCCTGCCATAGAGGAGTCTGTAGTGCTTATTTACGGTAAAGCCTCCTTCCTCTAAATGACTGACTCCCACCGTGAACTAACGCTGTGCTGCCAGCGCCTGTAGTGTGTGTGTGATTTATAGGTTGGGGTACAAACACCAACAGCTGCAGATTCAATTCCCACTTTACAGCTCGTGAACAGTAGTTATCTTTCACAGAACCAACACTTAATTATTCTCAGTGTGTTATCATTGTTATCCTCATCAATGCTAATTTGACACATAATTAATCAACTTTAATACAGATAGTATTGTTAAAGGGGAACTCCACTTAATTTCTAAATTTCTGCATTATTCAATAGCTGAGATGGTTAATTGTAGAGAAACTTACTGTCTGATGCCAGTGATGGGAACTAGAGGTCTTCTGAAAACTAGAACCTGGATCCGAAATGTTTTGTCCCGCCTCCGCCCACCCAGTTCCATCAAGAAGAAACTGACATCCAATATTAGACACAGTCTATTCACAAATACATTATTCTTTGCTGAAATAACATGGCAGTCATGGTCATCAGGCTCTCTGTGAGGTAACTTTGCCAAATGCCATTTATTCCCAGTGCAGCACAAAGCAAGAATTAAACCACAGAGTGGTTATTTTTGGTGTTTTGCTGGGCAGCTGTGGCCGTCGGGCTGAAGGCTCCGCTGTCTCTGTAAGCTATAAGAACTTGCATGTTGCTTACGTGATTGTTCTGAACTCTTTAGAAAGACTTCATTCATTCGAATTGTTTTACTGTTATCATTTTATATTGTTTATAAATACGATTTAGTGATCGTTCTACTTATTTAGGCGATTCATTAATTTGCAGAGTTTCTCTACATGCACATTTCATCCCACTCCCGCCTGCAGTAGGCTGGCAACCCACCCACTCCCAGCACTGAAAATTAGTCCCGCACCCAGGGGTTATAGCCATTTTATTTACTATCCAAAACCACCAGTAAACCTAAACCTTTTCTGATTTTTATACATAATGTTGATGGTGGTAAAATAGTGATAAATATTAAGTCCTCTTTGGGTAATGTTTTGCATTAGAATGCCCTGCATGTACCTCTCCACCATGAAAACTTTTTTTAAAATATGTTTTAAGCTTAAAAAACATGCAAACAATGTCTCAGATAATAACTTTCTATGACGTAGTCTATATAGGCAATTAAAGACCCATACGCTACTTTTTTCTTGTATTTTTCCCCCTGATGTCCACTTGTAACATTTGTGTGGGTTTATGTACCAAAAACCCAAGAGCAGTCATAATTCATTCTTACATGGCCATTTTCCAACCTCTCTTTATCCACTAAAATTAAAAAGGCTGTTTTTTTGCTGTGCCTTGCTAAGATGTGTAAATTACAGCTGTTCTGATTGGCTGCCATACGTTTTGCTTTATTCAAAGAGTAGTCAGAGCTGAATCACTTTTTATCACGTCAATGTAAATGGGTGAGTTAAAACTGTTGTAGGCTGAAGAGGAGCATACATTATATGGACAAAAGTATTGGGACACCTACAGGAGCTTTTATGACATCCCATTCTAAATCCATAGACAATAATATTGAGTTGATCCCCCTTTGCAGCTATAACAGCTTCCACTCTTTCCGGGAAGCTTTCTACATGATTTTGGAGTGTGTCTGTGGGAATTTTTGCCCATTCATTCAGAAGAGCATTTGTGAGGTCAGACACTGACGTTGGACGAGAGAGCATGGGCGCAATCTCTGTCGTAGTTCATCCATGGTGGTAACCAGCTATGAGGACACTGAGGGCCGGACCGCAATAGTTTAGAAGGTTTTTTTTTCCCTTTGCTCCATTCATGAAATTAAACGTGGAAATAGTGCTATTACGATAATACAGTCTACTCGGCGGCGCAGCCACAGTATCACAGGCCATCCAGTTAAATAGGGACATAATATTTATTATGCCGCATTTTTGGGAAGATGAAATTTGATTTGTTTTCTGTGAGCGCTGTCACTGTATTATGGCCAATTAAAATCTGCTGATATTTTGTAAACCTCAGAACAGCTGCGGCTCGGCCCCAGACTCAACTGCCCACTCTGTGCATGTTTGTATGAGACGCTACACAGCCCTGAGAACCAGAGTAACTTCTTGAGATGTTCAGATATGCAGCACACATGCTATACACTAACATATAACATCACTATGCTAAAAATATAAGAGTTTGTGAGCTTAATTTACATATTAATGTAAAATTTACCATATTAATGTAAAACAAACTCCATCATTCATTTCTTTGTTTGGAAGACTCACAACGTTGTTAGCTAAACCAGCGTGCTTCAGTCCAGCTCCAGTAGCTGCTCAGGTTATGCTACAGGCTCTGTCTTCAGCTAGATTAGTGATTAGATGAGAAATTAAAGCTGTATTTTGTTACCTATGCATAATATACTACAATTGGCATGAGAACATTCACTGTTAACCAGATTATTGATGGTACTAACACTATTAAGAAATCAGCAGGTACATTAGGCTCTATTTTGTCTCATTAACTGTATGAGTAGCTGCCTTTCCTTTTGCTAGGGTACAGACAGCCTTTTATAAGATGTTTAATGCGTGCTTTTCCAGTAATCAGTGAGAACAGAGATGCAAGAGAGAGCAGAGAGAGAGAGAGAGAGAAAGAACGGGAGAGGGAGGTAAATTAATTAAAATGAATATAAAACTATTACTTGATTTAGTGTAGATTTCAGCTGAAAATAAACATACATAGTTAAATTATTCATTACATAAACTTAAACAGGGTAGGAGTCAAATCAATTTGTGGAACATTAGTAGCAGTTCATGGCAAAATGGAGGGATGAGGAGGCAACAAATGAAAGGAAAAGGTGGAGAAACTTAGAGTTGGTGCAATTCTCATATTTGACAGTTATTTTATTCACTCTGAGATGTAGGTAACATTTTTTGCAAAATGGACCTCACTTGAATTTTGATCCTAACGGCCCTGAGGTCATCCCAAAGGTGTTTGATGGGGTTGAGGTCAGGGCTCTGTGCAGGCCAGTCAAGTTCTTCCACACCAAATTCACCCAGCCATGACCTTTATGGACCTTGCTTTGTGCACTGGGGCTCAGTCAGTCATGCTGGAACAGAAAAGGTTCTTCCCCAAATTGTTCCCACAAAGTCGGAAGCATATAATTGTCCAAACTATCTTGGTCTGCTGAAGCATTAAGATTTACCTTCACTGAGAGGCCCAGGCCAAACCCTGAAAACAACCCCATAGCATTGTCCCTCCTCCACCAAACTTTACAGTTGGCACAATGCAGTCAGGCAGGTAATGTTCTCCTGGCTTTCGCTAAACCTAGACTCATCATGTCTCTGAGTCACAGAGCTCATCGGTCTGACCCATTCTGCTGCCTGTTTTTGTCTATCAAGATTGTTAGCAATGAATGTGGCTGAAACACCTGAACTCAGTAACTAGGAGGGGTGTTCCTATTCTTTTGTCCATATAGTGTATATGTAAATGAGTTTGTTCTGACATCACGAAAACAATTCATATATAACTGACAGTTTTTGCAGCTTGGATTTCGTGTATGGCCTATATGAAATGTCTAGGCACTTTAATAACGTCTGCATTAAATTCTTATAATTAGCTACATTAAACTGCATTAAATTCTTATGTTTCAAAAAGTGAGGAGACGTTTCTATAGAGCAGCTAGCCACATTAGAGGTTTCGGTCAAACTATCACTGAAACATTTCATCAGTGTCCTGATTCCAGTAACACATACCCAACATTGGTGGGATATTTTATACGTACTGGCCACTTTATTAGAAACACCTACCTTGTTAGTCCACCTTGTATACACTTAAAAAAGATGGCTCTTCAAGGGTCCATTAGTAAAGAAAATGGTTCTAAATAGAACCATGTACTCTCAAAGAACATTTGCATGATTAAAGGGTTCTTTGCATTGTGAAAGGGTTCTTCAGACTGATGGAGAATGTGCTATAGATTGCTCGACAAAGAACCTTTTTGAAAAGGGTTCTATATAACACCAAAAAGGGTTCAGCTATTGTGACCATGTCAAGCTTGTATCAATACAAGGACTCTTTTCAATCCTATATAGAACCCTTTTTAAAAAGGTTCTAAATAGAACCATCTGCAGCACACTCTCCATCAATGCGAAGAACCATTTCACGATACAAAGAACCCTTTAATCACGCAAATGATTCTTTGAGTGTTCATGGTTCTATATAGCACAGTTTTTTCCATTAAAGAACCCTTGAGGAACCGTCATTTTTAAGTGTGTACAGTCTGTTAGGCCTTCATCAGTGGTCAGTTTCTGACATTTGACCCTCTCTTGGCTGGATATGTTTGGGTAGTGCACTGCTTTGAATCACATGCTACCAGGATAACATCACTGCAGTGCTGAGAATGGTCCACCACTCAAATATCTGCTCTCCTGTGGTCCTGCTGTGGCTTTTTTTCATGGAATAGGCACCTAGTACGCAAAGTACGGAAGTACATAAATGCTGGGTAAAACAAATCTACTACTGCCTACTAGACGATTATCTTTTTTTTTTTTTTAAATTATGCTTTATTAAATTTTTCTCAACAAGCATACACCATACACACACATAACAAAACATCCCCAGCTTACAAACACAAATATTTATGCTGACCAACATATCAAAATGCCACAGTAAACTATACAACTCTGTGCCAGCTTGCTATAGAGGGTATTTTAGCTGTTATCCATTGTAATAAAATACATTTCCTTGCACAGAATGTTAAAACATTGCAGAGTTTTTTCTTAAACTTGTCGGAAATATAATTATTTGGCAACCCAAGCCAAACACAAACCAACCCAATAAACACAATGGGTCCATCCTTACATCGGTTCCGAAAATCTTGTACAGTTCCTGTGAGATCTCCCCCCAATTTTTTTTATTCTGTAACAAGTCCACAGACAATGGGTGAGGCTACCTACCTCCACTTTACATTTAGGACACATAGGAGAAAAACCCTCTTTAAATTTACTGCGGTGACTTGGAGATATGCTCTGTGTAAGAT